AATATATTATATGTGCGTGTATAAGCACACAAGATTTTGAGCGCACCAAATTTTTATTACGGATAAGGCAATTCATATTCTACGAAAATTTAAAAAAAAATTTCAGAAAAACGACTCATACGAGTATAAGCAAATGCATAGCATTTCGAAAGTGTGAATACGAGCACTTCAAAAATTATTCTGTAAATTATAACAGGATTCATATTCAAATAATTCCGACAAGATTTCGTAATATGTCTTGCGTTTATGTGAGATAAAAGATTTTTGTCTGATTGGCCCATTACAATTAAAATTTCTTTACTTGTAAAATTACACTTTTTCTTATCGAAGTCATGGTTTTTTTACTAATTTTATGTAATCACAGAAATTGACGGAAAAATATTAAATCTATTGCATCAAAATCGGGTGAAGTTAATTTCAAAACTTTCTATTAAAAGCCCAATGAAAAATCTGTTATAAAAATCTGTTAAAAAATTTCATTTCGCCGTACTGAATAATTGTACTCTTTATAATTTGAACTTATTTCGTAGAACAACTCATTTTAAATTTCTCAATAAAATTAATTTCTTGCGAAGATGAATGATTTGGTATTTAATTGAAAGTTCGCCTTTAAAAAAGGAAGAAATGCCTACCTTCATTCTCGTAATATTTCATGGAATGAATACTGCACATCATATTCATCACATAACATAAATTATAATTCTGTATAATTGTACATATATAACGAATCAAGATATTTAACAATAACAATTTTCCTTTAGTATATAGAAAAATATTTGTATGTATAAGAGTATTCGTTCACAATAAATTATATTGCTAAAATATACATACGAAGGTACGTGTACAATTGGAGTAGATTGGCAAGTATATACGTAATTGGAGTATCCCCTTCTGGAGAATGCCTAAATAAAATATATAGTTGTACCAAATACCAATCATCTTAATGTGGGGTCTATGCGTATAAAACATAATCCTGCGTACCTACACAATTATGTTCTGGTATTAAATCTACTGTCTATATAAATACAAACCTCTATACCCGATATTTGTTTTAAAAATGATTAAAATATTAAATCATAACAAACTTTTAGAAAAATTTCTGAGACTAAACAAAAGTAATGTTGAATTAAAGTAGAAGGAATTCCAGGGTATAAAATCTGAAAAGATAAAAAGGGAATCTGGATAATAATTTTTATCCATTTTATATTAGTAACAAAAAAAAAATTAAGGATAAAGAATTGAATAGAAAATAATATTATAATGAGAATGAGAAAATGTTAATGATTGAAAAGAAAATGGTGGCATGAAAATATGAGAAAGGGTCAACTTTTTCCTTAATTAAATCATTTTGTCACCATTAATATGAAAGGAAACTCATTCATTTTGTTGTTGTGGTTCTTTCTTTTCTTTCTTTGTTTTGGATAAATTGAATAAAAATACATTTTATGGTGATTTTTCTAAATCTACATACATACAATGTCTACGTTTGTGTATTTTATATTAAAATAATAAATTTTATTATGTTAAAAGGACACAAAATTAATGACATTTGCTTGATGAATCAAATTATTTTCAAGGAAAACGTCAATTTTGTATATTGAAATATTTTCGTGACCTAGTTTTATTGTTACATTTTTAGTCCCCAGATACTTTTCTGATGTGTAAAAAAATGTAGACCATATAAATAATTTTGCAAATATGCCATAAAATTAAAATTTCGAGGATTGTAGCAAAGAAGTTGTCCACACCATTGAATTCAAACCTTGTGACGTCACCATCATTGAGCAGAAACTTTGAAAAACTCGTAGTTTTAACAAATAATCTTCCAAAGTAAAAAAATCTTGTATAATCTTCTGAATCTTTTTTGCGTGTCTTAAAATGTTATTAAATAAGGATATTTGAGTTATTTAAACTATATGATAGATGTACTTGGTAAAGCTTTTTATTTTAAGATCATTTAAATTCTTAATAATATCTTAATATTTATAATTTTGAAAATAAACTTCCAGTCGGTTTTTAGTTGATCTATAAGGCTGCAATTATTTTATAGGAATAAGCCTTTAAAATTTAATTTTTAATAGTCCTTTACAACATTTTATGGTGTTCATCCCCAAAACAATTTAAAATAAATGTTTTTTGAGACTATGACGTCACAAAATATTAATAGATTTGCAAGGTTAACTTTTTCACCGCAAAAATTCCAATTCCCAATTACTTATTACCACAGGCTATGATGTGTGAAAAGAATTATTTTGAACTAAAACGGCAGAGGATACTTTTATAATTATTTCCTTGTGTATTTAAACTTTTTTGCTTATTGTCTGTCTAAAAAATAAAAACTTTAAGGAAGATGCAGCATTAAAAAAATTTAAAACATATTTTATTTTTTATTTTATCCTTGAATATTAATTTATGAAATTTTTGAATTTTCACAGCTGATCTAAATAATTAGGAAAGAGCTTTAAAATAATTTCATAATGAAATGATGAATACTTTTTGAATTGATTGTGTTCTAGACGTATTCATTAAAAATTAATTTTACAAATATTTCGAATAACTATGCAAATTTCTTTTCCCATAAGTATTTTATTTAAACTTTGAGTTTTAGGCACAAAACGCATCACGAGTTACACAACTCCTGTTTTATTTAGTATATTAATTCATACCAGAAAGAAGTATAACACTTCTTGTTGAAAAGTAAGAACAGTTGCAGTTTTGCCGATTGCGTACCTGCTTGCGTATTTGTGCTGCAACATTTGCAAAATATAAGAGTAAATTTTTTGGTTCTTGAGATTATAGATTTGACATTAAATTATTAACATCTTATATTGGATTATTAACAGCTTATATTGAATTATCAACAGTTTTATTTCTGACGTACATCTTACCGACGCAAAATTACGTACGTATTACGGAAGATGTAACTTTCAAATTTTGGAATGTGCTCTTGTACTCATTTTCTTTTATATTTTTTGGGATGATAGGCTATTACATTTAATTTTTTTTCAACGTTACGTATTAAGACTTAAATCTTGATTGAATTCTTTAACTGCTAAATAATTCTGTGTATAAGGATCTGTAATCATTTCCCGACATAAAGATTATAGATTATAACATCTATCATCCACAATACCCACATTTTAATTAACACACTTTAATTAAAAGAATAAGCTTTAAAAGAATTAATGAATAATAAAACAGAAAATTTGGCTATTTCTCTTATTAAGAATATTTTAAATCTTAAATAAATCCTCCATCCAAAACAAGATTTTCAATTTTTTTTGTATTAAAACAATAAAACAAAGATAAAAAATATTTGGTTAATTTTACTAAAATGTGAAACCAGACAACAAGCTATCAATATCCTTATATATTGTACAATAATATTCCAAAATACTTTGAAAATTTTTTAAGGCTTTATTCATTTCGTAATTTTATAGAACAGATAAGAATTATAATATTTTACCTTTCTTCATCATTTTTGCCAATTATATATACCTTTTATTTTTATCTCTGTAATCATTTTTAATTAAAATAAAAAAAAGAAGATAAACTTCAGTCCCATTCTTCAACCTTTCATCTTCCATATACTAAAAGGTTCTTCTATTATTTCCGTTTTTATCATTGGATCTCATGGCCTCATACTTCAAGAAATCAAAATGTGAAGAAATTATATTGTGAATATTTTAAAAAACTCACCTTCTTTTAATATTTTAACTTAAACATGAATAAATTTTGATAAATAAAATTATTCTAAATTATTATAAAATAGATATACATACGTATGTACATGTTTTCATGGTTTTATTAGGTATGTATGTATAATATTCAGAAAATTTTGTGAGTCCGAAATTCTGGTTAAAGAAACTTAAACAACTATTTAAAATTTTTCAACTTTAAATTTCATCATATCAAAATTATTTTCAGTAAATTTATCTACAAAATTTTTATTAGGTAAATTTACTTTTAAAAGTTCTTACTAGAGTAATGGCAAATAATCTGTGCAAGCCTAAACATTTAATTAATGTTTAATAGACGTAATGTTGCAAAAACAATATAACAATAATTTTCTCATATTTTGTTAAAATATAAATAAAGAGAAACTTATTAGCTCCTAGGTCGTAAGTCCAATTTGGCAATTGATAATAAGGTATTGATTTATAACCAGATCACAATAAACCAATATGGCTATATTGCATTCAACTTTGGGGTTGTGTCAAGAAGACTCACATTAAGAAAATTCAAACCTTCCAAAATAAAGTTCTACGGGGCATGGTAAATGCGCCATGGTATGTACGTAATGATCACATCCACAAGGACCTAGGGGTTCTTTTCCTTGTAGATGAAATTAGAAGTTGTGCTACAAAGCATAGGGCTTGTGTGGAACAGCATGTAAATATGGAAGCAGCTCGGCTGCTAGACACTGGCGTTATGACAGAAAGACTTAAACGGACAAGACCTTTTGATTTAACACGAGATACCAACACTTTTATGGAAGGTTTTTTAATTCCTGTACGGAAAAACCAAATTAGCGCAGAGGTAACAGTTGGTCTGTGGGACCAGTTTTACCTGTTCACAGTTTAGGTGATTTTTAAAGGGTAGAAGTCACGCTCCCCCACTGTCGGAGGAAAAAGGCATATAGCGCGTCATTCTTCTTCGTCTTTCGAGATTTTTTCACCTAGCACAAAAAAAGAAAAATTTTTTGTAAAAACTATTATGAAGACTAGCAAATTTTCTCTAAAGTGTAGAAATTATTTTGCAATTGAAAATTTTGTAATTGTGAAAAAATTTGTAACTTACATTACAACTATTTTCCGGTGGACAAAAATCCCTATATTAGATTAGATATTTTTAATATTTTTTAAAGATAAAAAACTGAATTGTCTTAGGACACATGTTTCAGCAAAAAAGAACAAACATACTTTTTAAAATTATTGGTGCGGCTCACTCCATTGTTAACTAAAATAAATATTTTTAAGAACGTTTTAGTTTTTACTTACACGTAAAATTTTGGTGGTATTCGTTTTTAAATCTGGAAGTAGAAAAATAATTTTACATTTAGTATCAATAAATTAATTTAAATAAAAAATTTTAATTCGAAAAAGATTATAATATTCTAGAAATTAATCACAGAATTATGTATTAGCAATTAATACAAAATTTTTTAAGTATAATAAGGCAAACATTCTTTACTTATTTCCTATATTTTTATACTTAACAAGAAAAATTTTAATACAAATCTCAGTTTATTTAGAAATCTGAAAATATTGGGCATCTTAGCTGCTACTAAATATGTATAAGGGAGAATTTTTTTTAAATCCAACGCTTTATAGGAATAAAAAATTTGACTAAGGATATAACATTTAATCTCCTTATGAAAATCTTAATCCATATGCCTGCACAAGTTGCCTTGAACAGGCTGGTATATCGGGGGCTGTTTTATACCAAGACTATTTCAAGTATATGCCTTTAAATAAAGCGCTACATTTATTGGACTTGTACCATAGTGCGTTTTCGTAGAATAAATAAAATGTTTTGCAAAAAAGACTTGCGAAACAATGTTACATAACATAAAATTAAAGTAGATTAGAAGCGAACTCATCACAATTTAACTTTAAATTGTAAGCTACTTCAAGCTACATTTGACTGAGCTTCAAAATTCAAATATAATATTAATTGCATTAGATTTCGCATTATATTTGTGAACATACATTATATATACATACATAAATACGTCATAGAAGATCCTTTTTTTTTATGTTTCGTAACAAAAACAAATTGCATTTTTTATTAAAAGAGAAATAGCAATTAATAACAATTCTTCGTTTTACTATTTGTTTTATTAGCTTTGCAAGTTTTGGAAAAAGGAAACATTAAAAGTTTGTAAAAAAAAATTAGTACTCGTATTTTACCGAAAAGGAAAATCGAGAAAGAAGGATCATGATATGAAAAAATCTGCAAGTACAAAAATATTTATGTGAAAATGAAACACTTCGTACCCAATATAATCATCGTCAGTGACTACCCAAATATTAAAACACTACAATTATTACAATCGCAGTTTTGAGTTACCTTATGAAAATGTGTCTTTGCAAATACACGATTAAGTGCAGTTGGAATGTGTTCCGATGATATTTTTGGCGTCATGGATCTTTTGACCAATTTCATTTTATTTGCTTGATATTTTCGCAATTATGTTTTTCAATATTTTCAACGTCTTCATTTTTGATAATAAAATTGGTTCGATCTATCGGATCCTTTCTTTTTTATTACAGGAATTTATGACCTTTATGAACTCAGTGTGTTCGCGAATTCTCGTAATATGTACAAATTTTCATATCATTATTTTGATTTATTTTATAGAGTTTTCTCAATTGGGGTTTTAAACTAAAAATTTGAATTGTGACTACTTCCTAAGTGAAATTTAATCTAAAACTTTTATATTACCTAATGTGTAGTTATAATAGCAGTAAACCTTTCCCATCTGTAACGTATATCATTACTAATAATACATGAATATACAACAAACAAACAATCCAACAACTTTTCAAACAACCTTTGCAACCATACAAAGCAAAGAACATTACTACTCGTAATAATATTTTTCACAGAACAATAATGAAAGTTCATTATTCACACTTGTTAACAGTTTTATAATATTAACAAAATAAATTATTTGTAAATTATTAAGCTGAAAGTATAATAAGAAAAATTCATTCCAATTAATTAAACAAAACTACGTATTTAATAACCGTATTCCAATTATCACCAAATTTTCATTTTAAAGAGTGCTGTCGAGTTGAATATACATTTAAAAATTATGAATAATTTTCTTATATGATTTCATATTTTAAAGTATCCACGCTAGAATAAATTTCCATGTGTTTAAATTATTTATAGTGAAGAATTTTCTAAATATGAAACTACTAAAGAAATGAATAGTTTTTAAAAAGGAACAGCGTGACCCCCTTACAACTGAACTTTTCTTATAAAATTAACAAAAAGAGGTATTCTCTCATCCAACCTGGAATATAAATGAAAAAAAAAATTTATGCGACGTCTAAATTAAAATATCACAATTGCATATCATTTGTTTTTAACATTCATGCACAATACACAATTTTAAACCTATTTCAAAGCAATTCCTTATTATTTAACGTAAAGTTTAAGGGATTTTTAATTGTGATCAAAGCACGAAAAAATATTTTATTGGGGTAAAATTATAAAATTTTAAAGTAAAACGTGCTCGTGTTATATCACTCCGGTTTTTAACATTTAAGAAGCACTTGATGTCTGAAAATTTACGATTTTTTGCTAGTAGCATACTTCGAACAACAAAATTTAAACATTTATTTCATTCTAATGATTAATTAGTAGGTCGCATTGAAACTAATGATAGAAAAAGATGTTTTGATCAGGAACCTGTTAAATGACTCTTCATATATATGCCCAAAGGCATTAATTTGACTATCAAAACAAATTACTTTGACTAACCAGTTTTTGTTTCTATTTGCGTAAATAAATCAATTTTGGCTCTAGTTTGCTGAGGTTAATAGAACTGGATTCGACTATAATTTTATGATTTTTCCAAACAACATTGTTAAGTTTTATGTAGCATACATACATGTAATGAAACTCGATACAATCACTTTTAATTAAACGTATAGCATTATTATAACATTTTTTCCAACTCACTTTGCTTTTATTAAAATAACCCTTTCAAATCTTATTATAATAAAAATAAATCAAAAACTGACTAGCTATAACTTTATCGAAATACATACATAACTATTTTACCAAAATTACTCTAATATTTTTAGAGTTTTATACGCAAATTTAGTCATAAATTACGTTAAGATTTAAGTGGAATCGTTTTGCTTTTAATATTTTATACTACACTACATGTAGACATACAGTATGCACACATACTGCGTGAAAAATATGAATTGGAAACATGTAGACGTAAATTCATTGAAATTTTCTTATGAAATCAACAAATTGTTAAAAATAATTTTGAAAGCAATTTAAAATGTAAGATATGTTTTTATAGAAATCAGTCTATATCCCTTACTATTCGAAATGAAGGCAAATAAAGTTTCTAACATCTAACATGAACATACGTAGGGTTTGAATCGTAGTGTGTAAGGATGTGTGGAATATTAAATATGTATACATAAAACTTATATAAGTATACATTTTTTCCCAGTGATATTTCCAATCATTTTAGTTGAGCTCCCAATATCACTACTTACTGCTCCTTTGTAGAATTACAATCATATTCACTTATATATTTTACAGAAGACTAAATCGCACGAAAAACATTTTAATAAAAGAAGAGGAGAACTTGGAAATATAATGGGTTATGGGTATATTGTAAAACATCCAAATATATATGTATAATATTCTATATAAAAAAACTGATATACATATACAAAATTTTATATTTAATTCGCAAATTACCAAAAAAAACAGGAAAAAAAATATGTGTCAGACTCATATTTAGAAAACATGAACGACTCAGGTAATTTTTTCTTTACACGCAAGTATACATAATGTTGTACATTTTTACTTACATGAAACACATATAAAATTACCAGTATTGCATTTAAGTCACTTTTGCTTAGTGAAGCCATTGTGTTTAAAAGTAAGAGATGAACCGTTTTCCCGTTTCTCCTTTAAAACGGACGGCTACATTTTTAATAGAAATTGGTATAAGTTGTTACGAAGGTATGCAATATAAAGTATTTTTAACAGTTTAGTTAGAAAAGAAAAATGCTATAAATTTCAACGGATGAAAAGAAGAATCCTTTGTGTGTTTTGTGTTATACTCTACGATCTCAGCCAGTAAATTTATCATTTACATTATACACTTTGTGTTATAAATTTATTTAAAACTTTGTGTTATTAATTAAAACTAAATAATATCCGAATTGTATAATAATGTTACATTTGACTCAATTATCGTACTCATTTCAGTTTGTCTTATGCGAAAACAGAATGGGAGGCATTATGTTGGCTATTGAATATTTTTTAAATAGCCAACATGAATATTAGATTCAAAATATGAATATTAGATTCAAAAAAATTCTTTAATATGATCAAACTCATAGCAGTTAATGAAAATGTAATTATACTCTTCCATTGTTAACTCTTGCTTACAAAATTCACAAAAGCTGATTACGTATCCAACATTTGACTGCAAACACAACACTGGTTTTACACAATAATGTATTTGTTCCACGTATTTATAGTGACCATACTATATATTATTTCTTGAGGATACTATATTCAAAATTTATTGAATTTTTCTGACAAACTCAATTTCATACAAAATCGTTATTAAAAGCCTTTCTTTTGCCTTTAATTAAAACTTCTTGGCTTTTTAATTTAAGCCCTCTTTATTCAAATAAATATGTAAATCTTAAAAAATATAAAAACTATTCAATGGAATTTCCTCAACAAAATAATAAAGTAACCCTAATGTAGATCTAATACGAATAAATTAATTTGTACCCCATTCAATTTTAAAAAGATGGTCCGTGTGTGCTTACATTGTCGTTTTTTAGCATTTTGTTCAATTTCAATGTAGATACTTTTATACTTTTATACCCTTATTAATAACGCATGTGTGATATTAATTCTAATAGCAATTACAATTTTCAATTTAGAGAAAATACCAAAAAAAAAAAAATATTTTCAGACCGAAGCTTTCTATCATTGCATGTTACCATCAAAAATAAAACAAGTAAAAACGTTTCAGTCGGTATAAACCGATTGAATAATACCCTGCACCTTTCGTTATTGTGTAGCAATTACTCGAACCTGTGAAGTCATTCTATAGAAACTTCACGGATATGTCTGACCTATAATCGGACACACAACTGCCAAGTTTCATGAATCTGACTTTATAATTTTTCCAAATATTTAAAATTAGCTTTTGGAGTTGTATGGCAAGTACCTGAGCCTGTCAAACAATTCCATCAAAACTTCACAAATATATCTGATCTACAATCGGACACACAACTGCCAAGT